TTCGAGTAGATTAAAAAAAGAGAATGGGAGGGAAAAAGGAGAGACAAGATGTCTTACAACTCTTTCAAAGGGTTTTGCTGTAAAAAGAGAACAGAAAACTGGGAATGGTAACGGAAAGGGGATATGGAATCAAGGGAAGGTTGTTTTGTTTTAAGATGGATGATATTAGAGATGTTAAATGCTGATGGGAATGATTCAGTAATAAGAAATGCTAATGACACAGTATTGATATCCTTGAGTGAAAGGAGGTGAAATCTAATGCACAAGTGGAGGGGTTGGTGAGACAGTTCATCCAGAACAAGTAGAAGGCATAGGATATAGACAGATTTGGTCGTGAGAGCACGTGAGTGACCTCTCCTTATCGTTTCTGTTGTCTAAGTGAAACAGGAAGCAATGTCATCCGCAGAGCTTGAAGAAGGAGGAGGGAGTTTTGGAGGCTTAGTTTTGGAGGGGACATGAAAAATAATTGTCTAGGGAAGTGGACAGTGACTTGACTGGAAATTTGGTAATATTACCAAGCAGTAGCGAGGGCCATGTGAGGTTTATGGTCATGAGACCAATCAGCATATATGTGTTGGGTGTAGGTAAGTAAGGGTAGAGAATTTGGTTTTACAAGGGTTGGCTTTTTGCCAGGTGAGTATAATGGAGACTGACTTTACTGCTCATATCTCCAGTGTCTAGAAGTGAGGTAAGACAAATAAAGTTCCTGCACTTATGGGAGCTTAGATGCTAATGATGGAGAAATACAACAAAGTGTGGGGGGGGATACAAATAAATTATTGGATAGGATAGTGCTGATAAGGTAGTACAACAAGGTAATGAGATTGAGAATGGGGCTAAGGTGCAGCTCTCGATAGAATGGATTAAAGGAAGTCTTGCTAAAAGGATGACGTTTGAGCTAAGATCTGGGTGATGAGAAACTAGCTTAGTGAAATTGGAGGAAGAGTGTTCAAGGCAGAGAGACTGCAAGTACAAAAACATTGGGGCAGGATCAGCAAGGGAGTATGAGATCTTAAAAACGAGTGGGGGTACATTTGAGGGGACATGATCTTGATTGGATATAGGACTGAGGGAGAAGGAAGAGTTGAAGTTGACTCCCAGGGATTCAACTCCCAGGAAGGATGTTGATGTCAGCACTGAGACAGAGAATATGGGAGACAAAAGCTAATTCGAAGAAGAAAAGATGAATTTACCTTTAGGATATGTTGAGAGCCGGGCTCGGTGGCTCAGCCTGTAATCCCGTGCCTTTGGGAAGCTGAGGTGAGTGGGTTGCCTGAGCCCGCGGGTTCGAGACCTGCCTGGGCAACTTGGCGAGACCTCATCTCTACAATAAATCAAAAATTAGCCAGGCATGGTAGCACGTGCCTGTAATTTCAGCTACTTGGAAGGCTGAGGCGGAAGGATCGCCGGAGCCCAGCAGGTCGAGGCTGCGGTGGCCGGGAGCGGCCACTGCACTCTAGTCTGGGCGACAGAGTGAGACTCCAACTCAAAAAAAAAAAAAAGATATGTTGAGTTTATACCTAGAACAGTGCCTGGTACATAGTACGCAATCAATAAGTATTGTTAAATGTTTGAATTGGCTACTGGTGGAGCAGTTCTAAAATCTAAGACTTATCCGGACTCGGTGGCGCAGCCTGTAATCCTGTGCTTTGGGAGACTGAGGTGAGTGGATTTGCCTGAGCCCGCAGGTTCAAGACCCGCCTGGGCAACTTGGCAAGACCCCATTTCTACAATAAATAAAAAAAATTAGTCAGGCGTGGTAGCGCGCACCTGTAGTTCCAGCTACTTGGAAGGCTGAGGCAGAAGGATCGCCGGAGCCCAGCAGGTCGAAGCTGCGGTGGGCCGAGAGCGTGCCACTGCACTCCAGTCTGGGCAACAGAGTGAGACTCCAACTCAAAAAAAAAAAAAAAAAAAGAAAAATCTAAGACTTATGATTGTTATAACCTTGGAGTACAGAGAAGTCATTTCACAGATGGGCAAACTAGGCACAGAAAGTTTAGGAAATTTGCCCTATGTTTTCTAATGCGTCAATATTAACTGCTAGAATAAATCTAGTCCCAATTCCTTTTTCATTCATTGATCAGGTTATACAGCCATTACGTTCATATTAATTATTTGTTTTATTCCTACACAGAAAGGATATGTTCTTTGGAAACAGCAACCCCATTAAGATTAATGATAACAAACTCACATCATTAACATGTGCAAACCCTACTGAAACAAATGTGATCAAGCACAGGTTAGGTAACAAGTTATGTTTGCTGTCCATTATGTCCTTGCTCTGTTGGATAACATCAGGACACCAGCTGGCAGCATCTAATTAGTGAGATATGGAACTTAGATAAAAGCTGTGACCATAGGTGAACATTTGTTCAGACCTCTTCTTAAATACATGAACTTGGACCTTTGGGCTTAGTTAGGATTAGGTCATTGCCCATGGGTGGAAAAAATCACTGCACTGGGATTTCTTTCTCCCAAGAGAAAAAAAATTCTGTATTTTGACTTTTGATGTAACTCTACATCTTTGGTATCAAACACCACATACTAAATTTAGAGTCCTGAAAACCAGGGAGATTATACGATAGTATGAGTATACCAACAAAGTAAGTTTACTTTACAGGACTCTTGTCCAGTCACTTCAGAGATCTGCCACTCCCCATTAATACCAAAGGTAAGATCATAAAATCAGCATACTATAAAGTAAATCTTTGAATACATAGTTTAGAGATTATATATAGCTGAGCACCAAAATTTGCCCACAGATTTTCTGTTTGACAAGATAGTGTTTGTTTTCCTTTGTAACTGAATACCATTTGACTGACATGCCTTGCCATCCAATTAGTCACATGCAATTTCACTCTTTATATTCTCCAGCCTGCAGTATAACATTCATGCAATCCACCTAACTAGCCCCTAAAGTTTTTTGAGTTTGCCAGCTCTGGAAATTGAACTTTTGTGACACGTTTCCACATAAGGGACATGTTATTTCAATAATAAACCTAAACGAAGCTGAAATGTTTTTCATGACTCAGCCTACACTGAAATATCTTTAGATAATGTGCTCTTACTACCAGATTACAATCCTAAGAACTCCCTGTGACCTTCTTCTTCCTCTGGTTGACAAGAACCCAAAGTCCTTTTATTTACTAACCCTACAAAGCCTGGGTCTTAGGTTTGAAAAATGAGCATACTGTTGCACACATATCTGTATCCCTGAGGCATAATTGTAACTTTGATGTGAGAGAGTTCCCCCACATCCATTCCCGAAAATTTCTTAAAAAAAAAAAAAAAAGGGCAGGTGCAATAATCTTCCTAGTCAGAGGTTTTTAACAGTCAGAAAGTGCTTCTGAAAGACCCAGGATGCATAGTAATTTATAATGAGGATAATAGTAGCCATCCTATAATGCCATTGTAGTTTGGATGTCCCATAATAATATGAGTCCTTCCCTATCTTGATGAACATTTATAAAGTCATTTCAAATTTTTCACTATTACTCCATAAATATGCACAATTACTATTTGTCAACTAAAAATGAATTAATGAAAAAATTTTAAGTTAAAAATTAAAATTAAAAAGTGTTTACTATTAATACTACTACTTGTTGAGCTCTAATCACATGCCAGGCCATATGCTAGGCATTTTATATGTATTATCTTCTTTGTTCCTCACAAACACTTTATGGGTTACGTAATATCCTAATCCTCATTTTACAGATGATAAAACTGAGACACAAAAATGTTAACTTCCCTTAGGTCAGAACACTAGTTAGTGGTGGAGTCCACATAGTCAGTCTGACTCTGGCACCTAAGCCAGAGTCAAACATGGTGCTATGATAAACATTTTTGTTTATGCATATGTGCAACTATTTCTATAGAAAAGCCTGCAAGAAAGTTGGTGGGTAAAAGAAACACAATTTTGATAAATACTGATAAATTGTTCATCATGAAAGCTTAATCAGGTTCTTTTCCAACCACAGTGTATGAGCATGCCCATTTTCATTAAGTCTCTAGTTCTGAATATGACAATTTTTTTTTTGTTTTGTTCTGTTTTCCAAGTTGATGAGTAAAACTGTCTCTGTTTGTGTTTGTGTAAAGAAATACTGGAGTTTGGGAATTTATAAAGAAAAGAGGTTTATCTAAGGCTTGCAGTTTTGCAGGCTGTACAAGAATCATGGTACTGGCATTTGCTTCTGGTGAATTGCTTCCACTCATGCGGGAAGGAAAAAGAGAGCCAGCATGTACAGAGATCACATGGCAAGAGAGGAGGCAAAACAGAGGGGAGTGAGGTGCCAGACTCTTTTAAATAACCAGCTCCCGGGAACTAATAGAGTGAGAGCTCATTATCGCAAAAACAGCACCAAGCCACTCATAAGGGATCTGCCCTTAGGACCCAAATACCTCCCTTTAGGTCCCATCTCCAACATTGTTGTTCAAATTTCAACATGAGGTTTGGAGCACAAACTATTCTAAAAAAAACCCAAACTCATTGTCTAAAATTTCTTTGATTACATATCTGATTGAATATTTTTAATAAACTGATTTATTTCTTGTTTGTTTGAGTTGGAGTCTCACTCCCATTGCCCAGGCTGGAGTGCAGTGGCACGCTCATGGCCCTCCTGTGTCAACCTGCTAGACTCCAGTGATCCTTCCACCCACCTCAACCTTCCAAGTAGCCGGACCTACCGTGCTACTACACCTGGCTAATTTTTTTTTTTTAATTGTAGAGACGAGGTCTCACCAAGTTCCCTGTGCTGGTCTCAAACCCATGATCTCAGACAAACCACTCGCCTCGGCCTCCCAAAGTGCTGGGATTACAAGCTGAGCCACTGAGCCCAGTCAATATAATTTTGATAATATGATTATACTAAAAGATAAAGAAAAGGTGTTTTATATAATTAAATAGTCATTCATTAAAAAAACTCCTTTTTTTTGTTATTTAGTTTTTATTTCTCTGCAATCCAACTAGACGTGGAAGGGTATAATAAGGAAAATACGGAACCCAAAGAATCGTAGCGAGAGCACAAAGATTATAGGGATACTGCGAGCAAACGGGATGGAGGGGGTGCTCTCCTGAGCTACAGAAGGAATGATCTGGTAATTTAAGATAAAACAAGTCAAATTTATTAGAGTTGTCCACAGTCAGCAATGGTGATCTTCTTGCTGGTCTTGCCATTCTTGGACCCAAAGCCCTCCATGGCTTGTGCAACATTCATGCCCTCTTTCACCTTGCCAAAAACCACATGCTTGCCATCCAACCACTCAGTCTTAGTAGTGCAGATGAAAAGCTGGGAACCGTTTGTTTTGGGTCTAGCATTTGCCATGGACAAGATGCTGGGACCTGTATGCTTCAAGATGAAGTTCTCATCATCAAATTTCTCCCCATAGATGGACTTGCCGCCAGTGCCATTATGGCGTGTAAAGCCACCACCCTGGCACATAAACCCTGGAATAATTCTGTGAAAGCAGGAACCCTTATAACTGAATCCTTTCTCTCCAGTGCTCAGAGCACGAAAGTTTTCTGCTGTCTTTGGAACTTTGTCTGCAAACAGCTCGAAGGAGACGCGGCCCAAGGGCTCGCCGTAGATGGAGATGTGGAAGTACACGGTGAGGCTGAAGGGAAAAGGCTCAAGGCAGCAGCGTCTGCAAAGCCCATAATAAAAACTCTTAGTCAACTTAGTGAGAAACTCAATCAATTTGATAAGGTTAAGGTTATTTATCAAAAACATACAGCTTATGATCACACTTAAGGGTGAAATAGTGAATGCTTTCCTTTAGTGAGACAGGGATGTTTCTTAGTATCATTTCTATTCAACATAGTATTGGACTATGCACCAAGAAAAGGGAATAATTTTTAAATTTAAAGATTGGAAAGGAAATAGTAAAAGTATCTTTGAGTGGCATGATTGTGTACATGGAAAATTCAAAGAATTCATAAACTACTAGAAGTAACAAGTGAATTTAGAAAGGTTATGTGATACAAAGTCAATATATAAATATCAATTGTATTTCTTACTTCAAATATAAAATATTATAAATATATAAAATATTATAAATATCAATTGTAATTCTATACTTGTAACAAACAATTGGAAGATGAAAAACTTAAAACATTTACAATAGGATTTTTTTTTTAATTGGAGTCTCACTCTGTCACCCAGGCTGGAGTACAGTAACACACTCATGGCCACCCCAGTGTTGTGCTGCTGGGCTCAGGTGATCCTTCCACCTCAACCTTTCAAGTAGCTGGAACTACAGGTGCACACTACAATGCCCGGCTAATTTTTTGATTTTATTGTACTGATGAGGTCTCACCATGTTGCTCAGGTTAGTCTAGAACCCGCGGGCTCAGGCAATCCTCTCGTCTCGGCCTCCCAAAGTACTGTGATTACAGACTTGAGAAACTGTGCCCGGCTACAATAAGATTTTTAAAATAAAATATCCAAGACTAAATAAAATGTGCAATGATTACACTGAAAATTATAAAACATCACAGAGACAAAGAAGGCCTATTAAAAGGAAAACTGGTCTACTTCAAGGATTGGAAGATTCAATTGCTAAGATGTCAGTTTTCTCCAAACTAATCTATACATTCAATGCAATCCTGATTGAAACTCAGCAGGCTTTTATTGGTAGAAATTTGTAAGCTGATTTTAAATTTTACATGTAATTGCAAAAACCCCAGAATAGTCAAAACCATCCTTAAAATAAACACAAAGATGAAGTATATTTATATTACCAATACCAAATTTTACTATAAAGATAAGGAATTAATACAGTAGTGTATAGACATAAGTATAAACAAATAGATCCATGGAACAGAACAGAGAGTCCAGATATAAATGGTTACTTGATCTATGACAAAGTCATTGATGTAATTCAAGGAGAAAGAATGGTTTTAGACTAAATGGTGTGTGTTGGAGGGACTCAATATCCAGATTAAAAAATAAATAAATCCTGACCCTCACACCTAACATCATTTATAAAAAATAATGTTAAATAGATCACAGATCTAGATGTGAAAGCTAAAATTAGAAATTTTCTAAAAACCACAGAAGACTAAACGGCATGAAGCAGGCAAATGGGACCAAAAAAAGCACTAGTCATAAAAGAAAAAATTGATAAAGTCGACTTTATTAGAATTTAAAACTTCTGTTCATTAAAAGACACAATTAAGAAAGTGAAAAGTTAAGTTACAGACTGGAAGATAATATTTGAAATACCTCAAAGACACTTCAAAAAGTTCATTAAAAAATGGAATTAAAGATAAAAATTAAAAAATATAAATTTTACTTCTCTACATAAACTCCACCAAGTTCAAGCCACTTTTTAAGTAATGATACCAGTCATTTAGTTCATCCCTAGATAACTGAGTGTCTGGGAATTTAACCATGTCAATGCAGTTTTTTTTTTTTACATTATTAACTAAAGAAAAATGGGTGCCCTTTTCATATTTTTTAAGATTAGAAACAAAAAAATTTTAGAAGGAGCCAAATCAGCACTGGAAAGTGAACGTTTAATGATTTCCCATACAAACTCTTGAGAAAATTGCCCTTGTTTGATAAGGGGAGTGAGCAGGAGCATTGTTGTGGTATAGAATGATTTTCTGGTGAAACATTTTCCAGGCGTTTTTCTGCTAAAGCTTTGACTAAATTTCTCAAAACACCCTCAAAATGAGCAGATGTTATTATTCTTTGCCCCTCCAGAAGGTTGACAAGCAAAATGTCCTGAGCATCCCAAAAAACTGTTGTCAGGACCTTTGCTCTTGACCAGTCTACCTTTACTCTTACTGGACCACTTCTCCCTCTTAGTAGCCACTGCTTTGATTATACTTTGCTTTCAGGATCATACTGGTAAAGCCATGTTTCATCTCCTGTTACAATTCTTCAAGGAAATACTTCAGGATCTTGATCCCACTTATTTAAAATGGCTATTGAAAGCTCTGCCCTTGTCTATAACCGATCTGGACACAAGTCTTGGCTTCTATTGAAGGGAAAATAGCTCAACTTTAATTTTTCAGCCAGATTTGTATAAGTTGAACCAGTTGAAGTGTCTATGGTGGTAGCTGTTGTTTCTGCTGGTAACATTAGTCCTTTTCAATTAGGGTATGAACAAGATGAATGCTTTCCTTCTGAATTGATAAGAATGGTCCGCCACTAAGGACTTTATCTTTACCATCATCTTACCACTTCTTAAATTTAGCTATTCATTTGTAAATTGCTGATTTTGGAGGATATTTTCCCCAGTCTTCCACCCAAGAATTACCATAAATCTGATGGTTGTTCTTGCTTCAATTTTACTAGAATTCATATTACTCTGGTAAGGGCTATTTTCAAACTGTGTCCTATCCTTCTTAGTGTCTCAAACTAGATCCTGTTCACATATGTTATAACAAGTTAGTATGAATTTATTTTGGTGCAAAAAATTTTTGAAATCCATGCATAGGGTTTTTCATAATACACTTTCTCCATGAACTTTTTGAAGACCCTTCATATAGGCTGAAAAGGATGTGCATCCAGATTATATAAAGAACACTTAAAACTCAATAATAAGAGGCAACCCCTTCGGGTCCCCTCCCACTGTGGGAGCTTTTCTGTCGTCTCAATAAATCCTGCTTTCTCAAACAAAACAAAAAAACCAAAAAACTCAATAATAAGATAACACAGCTTTAGTAAAAGGGGGAAGGGATCAAAAGATTGGCACAAACACTTCACAAAGAAGATATACAAACAGCCAAAGCATCAAATGAAAAGAGGTTCAACATCATTAGTTATCAGGGAAAGTCCAATTAAAAACACAATGAGATAACACTACACACCATCTAGAATGGTTGGCAGTATCAGGTGTTGAGAGAATATGGAGCTACTGGACTTTTCATTTATTCAGGGTGAGAATGTAAAATGGTGCAATCTCTTTGGCAAACTTATTGGCAGCTTCAACTATACTTAAACATATAACTACCCTATGAGCCAACAATTCCATTCCTAGGCACCCAAGAGAAATGAAAGCAAATGTCTGTAAAAAAAAAAGACTTTGAGAAAAAATAAGCCTTATTTATGATAACCAAATAACCCAAATGTTCAATAGATAAACAAATTGTACATTCATACAATGAAAAAGGAAAAGCTTCCAATACGTGCAACTACTTGGAAAAGCCTTGAAAACATCAAGTTGTATGATAATTTCAAGCACAGGAAATACATATTGTATAATTCTATTTATATGAAGTTCTAGAACAAGCAAAGTTAATCTATAATGATAAAAATAAGAATAATGGTTATCTCTTGTGGTGGGTATTGGCTGGGAAAGTGCACAAGAAAACCGATGGCACTTCTGCTCTACATATGTCATAACAGTCAATCTACCTTCACAACACACCAGAATTGGCTGGGTGTGGTGGCTCAAGCCTGTAATCCCAGCACTTGGGAAGGCAGAGACGAGAGGATTGCCTAAGCCCAGGGGTTCGAGACCAGCCTGGGAAACTTGGTGAGACCTCGTCTCTACAATAAATCAAAAAAATTAGCTGGGCGTGGTAGCGTGCACCTGTAGTTCCAGCTAGTTGGAAGGCTGAGGCAGGATTGCCTGAGCCCAATAGGTCGAGGCTGCAGTGGCTGTGAGCGTGCCATTGCACTCCAGCCTAGATGACAGGGTGAGATATCAAATACATACATACATACATACATACATACGTAAAAAACACACCAGAATCATCTACTTGTGATCTCCACTGTCCTCACCCTAATCAAAGTCTCCCCTGTCTCTCATGTTCATTCCGGAAGAAGGACTCTTGTCTGAGAATGGCACCCCAGAGACTCACTGGATATGAGCATTCATCTCTATGAGAATAAGTGGAGCCATCACCACAGCACTATCAGTTCCTACTCAACCCGACCTTTAACTTAAACTGATTTTCTGTGCTATTTTAAAGATTCAATAGGTTTTTATTACTTTTCTGATGTCTTAACCATGAAATACAATATTATTTCTATGGAAAAATGTATTTTGATTTTCATCCACTGATTTAGAACCCAGTCTTCTCTTCCCTCCTTCCCTCCCTCCCTCCCTCCCTTTCTTTCTTTTTCTCTGAGTCGGAGTCTCACTCTGTTGCTCAAGCTGGAGGGCAGTGGCATGATCAGGGCTACCACAATCTGCTAGACTCAAGTGATCCTTCCGCCTCAACCTTTCAAGAAGCTGGTACTACAGACATGTGCCACCATGGCCAGCTAATTTTTTTATTTCTTGTAGAGATAAGGTCTCCAACTTGCTCAGACTGGTCTTGAACCTCTGGGCTCAGGCAATCCTCTTGCCTCCACCTCCCAAAGTGCTGGGATTATAGGCATGAACCACCATGCCCAGTCCTAGTCTTTTCTTTATTGAGGATTTTTCTCTTGGTTTTTGTTGTTGTTTTTTATGGTGTTTTTCATTATCTTTAAGTCTTTTAAATGGGTTTTATTTTGTGTTTCCAAACATTTTTGAAAAATCAATGAAGGGCAAGTTATTCCATGGCTTTGGTTTTTGTGTGGGAGAGTGTGGTGGCGTACAGCATGCATTCCACTGGAAGCACATCAGTGTGGCGCCTTGACTGTTTTTCAGTCTCAAATACACTGATTGATAAAAGGTGACTTCCAGACTAGTTACTTTTGGACAAATCCCTGTATTACCATCTTGCACAGTCATATCTGTTTCAGTTTTCTATAGCTGATGTAACAAATTACCACAAACTTAGTGGCTTAAGCAATACAGATTTATTAGCTTACATTTTTGGAGACCAAAAGTACACAATGGGTTTCTCTAGGTGAAAATCATAGTATCTGTGGGGCTGTGTTCCTTCAGGTGCTAAAATCTGTTTCCTTGCCTGTTCTAGGATCTAGAGCTGCATTCTTTGCATCCCTTGGCTCTTGAACCCTTCCCTTCTCTCTGCAAAACCAGCAGCATAGCATCTTGCTCCACTTGTTCACATGACCTGTTATCTCTACAGTCAAATCTCCCCCAAATATCCCTCTTGTAAGAATCTTTGTAATTATATTGAGCCCACTCAGATAATCCAGAATAATCACAACAATCTTAGTTTAATCACACAAAGTCTCTTTTTGTCATATAAAGTAGCATCCACAAGGTTCTGTCGTTATCCCCTCATCTTTTTTTTAGATATGAGTTTTCCCTCCCTCCTCTTTGCCTAACAAAATGCCTAGCACATAACAGGCATAGAGTAGATGTTGTGCTATAAATAGCTCCTGCACTAGGCAGGATTGACTTATTAAGAGTTTAATTCTGAGTAAATAACTCTCCAAATTGTAATCTGGCAAAAGTATATTTCTCATGCCACAGTCCAGTGCTTGTCAGGCAGCTTTCCTTGCAGCACTCTTTCAAACAAATTCCAAGCCTATTCTATCTTATGAAGCTGCCATCCTAAAGGAAGTGGCTTCCAAAAGGGAATATTTGTGGAAAGAATGTAGGAAAAATGCAGACATAACAGAAAGAACTGGAAAATGGGAGAGCACCTGAGTAAAGGTGAGACCATATTGTTCAAAGCTTTTCCTGGGCTGGACCCTTGTAGAAACTGTAAACACAGTTATACATGTGTACACATACACTCCTTCAAAAGTCTCACATATGTTATTTTGGAATTAGTCATTATTACCTATCACTTGTATTACTGTTCTATTCTAAAAACATAAGTAACTGAGTTGAGTCTGTATATTAATTTTCATGTAGTAGTTTATAACTCAAAAAAAGAAATTTACTTACTTGCAAATTGGCAGTTAGCTCAAACAGAAAATTTGAGTCAAGATTTAAAACATTATACAAGTAGTTTTAAAACAACACAAAACACATTTGCTAAATTCAAAAGTAGTTAATCATAAGACAACTGAAGTAAGGGGAACATTAGAATTACATTTTAAAATGTTGATTAGGTTTTAAATGTAATTACTGCATTATTCTGAGTTTGTAAAACTGATTCAGTAGGGAGAGATTAATATTCAGGTTAAAAGTATTCACGAGTTTCGTTTTAATTAGCATCTCCTAATTAAAAATTATCCAATTTATAAATAATTAACTTCTATTATGTAAAATGGTTGTGTTAAAACACTCTGTTTAGAATTTTATTTTTAAAAGATAGTTTTCTAGTATAAATTCACATTTATAACTGAAAGCTTTTGTGAAAGATATCAGTCTCTAAAGGGTTTTACAGGTCCCACAAATATTAATATTAATTAGGGTAAATTGCTGTAAATAAGGAAATACATTTAATGACACCAACAAAACAGCAGTTGTCTTTCCTGAAAAAGTGCCAGATTAGCAGGTTCAGAATAGAAGAGCAAAATTGCCTCAGGGAGTGGTAGAAAACAATGAGCCATGACAACAGCCATAATCCATGCCTCCTACAATCCTTCACACCTGTCAAAATAGAACCCTGGGCTGGTTCTGTTCTACTCAGTGAGTGAAGTCCCATATCCCTTACATATGTGGTTCTACATGATTTTATATTTGAGAAGTTACACCTTAAAAGTGGGTCTTTGGTATTTTTAACTACTCATATAACTGTGTGGGAGAACACACTGTTAAACATATTTTTATTGTATAGAAATTGTTTATGTTTTTCTTCTCCACTAAGATGTAAGCTCTCCGAGTAGGAAACATAATCCAGACCTCACTGTACCCCAGCATTCAGCTCAGAGCACGAGAATTTTAAGGTAACTTTCCCTGAGGCGGGGAGGAGGAGATGGAAAGGGGACGAGACCCCCTGAAAAGTAGATGTTCTCCACTTAAGCATTTGGAGCAAGACGTGCTTTGGGCTTGACAGTTTCCCTTCACTAGCAGGAGTTTGTCACTTTAAGCCAAAGACCAGGAAGTTAAAAGTGGACTTAGAGAGGCGGGGAAGGATGGAGACTGACAACACTCGGTCTGCAGAGAGTGCTTGCCAGTACGGGCGACTCCAGCTGAAAAACAGAAGTTGCAGGAGTTAAGTTTGTTCCTCCGAAGCAGCTTCAGCCCACGTTTTATTCCGGTTGAGGGAGGGAGAATGGTTGCCGCCGAGAGGGCGGGGTGGTGGCTGAAAGGTGGAGCGGAACAGCCCCTCCCCGCTGGCCGTTGCTGTTGTTCATAAAATGCTGCTTTATATTTGTTTGAAAACAGCCAAGTAGGAGCAGCCTCCAGAACGCAGCTGAAGGATCCGCTCCGGGAAAGGCTGGGAGGTCCGGTATCACAGCAGAGCCCTCTCACCTCTGGTCTTGCAGGCGCTCGGCTTATCCCATCTCACGCTGAGCGATTTCCTGTGGTTAGAAGGACAGCTGAATCTGGCCTTCCCGAAGGCACCTCTTGTTACAATGTTTATCTGGATGTTATGGCCAAAATCGCCCTTGAAAAGTGTTGACTGATGTGTGCTTTTTTTCTTTTGTCATCCTTTCTTTAGCACAGGTGACTCTGACCCACAAGTGAAGAACTCCGGAGACCATGACCAAGAAAAGAATTGCTGTGATTGGTGGGGGAGTGAGCGGGCTCACTTCCATCAAGTGCTGCCTGGAAGAAGATTTGGAACCTGTCTGCTTTGAAAGGACTGATGACATTGGAGGGCTCTGGAGGTTCCAGGTACATCTCCCGGCCCCTTGATACTTGAAGTTCTCCTTGCAACTAGGTGCTTGAGACGTTTGATCTCGTGTCAAGGACTATGGTGACACCACAGTATAGTGTAGAGGTTAAGAGCACAGTAATTAAACCTGCTAGAATTCAACCTGCTGACTTCTCAGCAACCATCACCTCAGGTTGTATGCAAGTTCCTCTTGACAGCAAAATGGAACGCAGATATCACTTATTTTTCCTTTCTGTTGTCTATGAAAATGGCATAGAGACCTTTTTAATTTAATGAGTTTTGCTGCTGTCCAGAAGAGGAAAACAATCTGGAAGGGTAACAAAATTACAAACACTAGAAAATGCACAGGGGATTAAAAAAACTTAAGAGTGGTTGTTCCTGGTCTGTATTAATAGGTAAATGTGCTAGAATTATCTGCTTACCCTTTCTAGGAATCCCCCTTTTCAATCTTCTCTAAACTTATTATTATTATTTAAATTCTGGTTCACTTTAGGTAATTTCTGACAATTCTAGTCCTTGAATAGAATATACAGTCTTGTTTTATATTGCCTTGTTTGTTTTGAACTTTTCTTTCCAAAGTTCAAAGTTCTGTCTTTGGAAGGGACCAGAGTGCACCTGCAACTGGGTTGTCCTTGCACCTACTGTTTTAAATTACAATTGTTTTAATATGCACATTCAGCCCTGCAACCTGTAACAGTATTAAAATGTCAACTACTTAATCAACCACCTTTGTCGTTCTCCAAATTGACATGCATTGTGTATGCTTTTAAGATCATTTTTTGAACCAGTAAATAGTATTGAGGTGCCCGAGATGTGTTTTAACTTCATGGTTCATAAAAACTAGCAGTGTTGACCAGCTACATAAAAGTAGCTTTATGGCATTCCTCAGTTAAACAGAAGCACGTTCCTTTTGCACCTTGGCTCCGTTGTTGCACTGATTGCATTTAACAAGAGTCCTTATTCAGATCCACAGGGTATCCCCTTAGCAGACCCACAGGCCACTGTCATATCAGTTTTGGGCATGGGTTAAAAAAAAAAAATCTATTAATTAGTTTTTGGTAAACCAGCAGAAAATTCTACTCTTAAAGTCCAGCAACAATGTTGTGTAGAGGTTAAGATCACAGTCTTGGCTTTAAATCCTGTTTCTGTCACCTACTAGCAGTGTGACCTTGGGCAAATCATTAAGCCTCTCTGTATCTCTGTTTTTTCATCTTTAAGAAGGGGATAATAATAGTACCCACTTTACAGAGTTGTTATGGGGAGTAAGTGAAAGAATAATTATGTCAGTCATTTATAACACTGCCAGGTGCACAGTGCCACATGTCAGTTATTCAGAGGCCTAGGGTGGGACCTATGCATGTGATGTGCTTACTAAGCATCGTAGGCAGATTTGGCAATTACTGAACAGTCATGAAATCAACTGAGGGTGGGAGGATGTTGGGCGGGGGGAGGTGGTCCATAGCCCTGTGTGATTACCCGGTTTCTTTTATCTCCAAAGTGATTTAAACTTATTTTCTGCTTAAGAATTAACTTGGAGGCTTTTTTTCTGATTATTCTCTTGGTAAAATTTCAATATTTTACAAACTGCTTCCTTGAAAATAAATAAGGTAATTTCATCATAACACTCTGGCTTCTGTTAAGACAGACCACTCTTTCTGTGGTTTACCATTATATTTCTAGAGCCAAGCATGTATTTTCCTATCTCTCTTTTTTAAAGCTTTCCAGATGATTCCAATATGCAGACAAGGTTGAGAGCAACAGTTCAAAGGCAGCTCCTGTCCCATGAGATTCTGAGAGTTTGACAAGGGAATGGAAAACCTAAACTGTCCTCATTCCTCTCATAGAAGGGGAGTCACTTTTTCTCCTTCCTTCCATCCTTATTACTGCCTTCAGTCCCTTTTGCTTTTACTCCCCACCTTCCATCCCCTATTGTCTCTCCCTCTCTCTCTCTTTTTTTTTTTTTTGAGTTGGAGTCTCACTCCATCGCTCAGGCTGGAGTGAAGTGGCATACTCACAGCCACCCCAGCGGTGACCTGCTGGACTCTGGTGATCCTTCCACCTCAGCTTTCCAAGTAGCTGGAACTACAGGCATGCACTGCCATGCCCCGCTAATTTTTTGATTAATTGTAGAGATGAGGTCTCGCCAAGCTACCCAGGCTGGTCTTGAACCCACGGGTTCAGGCAATCCACTCACCTCGGCCTCCCAAAGTGCTGGGATTACAGGCTGAGCCACCAAGCCATGCCGTCTCTTTTCTTATATGGACTTCCTACTCAAATGTGTGAGCCTTGTGCCTAGGTAGGAAATATAATCAATGTACAAAATTTTTAGAGGGTAAATTTATTCATCGATGATAGGAAATTGTAAAATCCGGGAGCAGAAGCTTCTTTTTCCACTCATTGATCCAAACTGGTCTGTGCTCACTCCCTTTATAAAGCAGTGGTTTGACGGTGATAAAAACTTACCTAGAATCCATTCAGGTAGTTAGAAGGGCTTGAAGTTTTATGTTGACACAGAATAACACTTTGTTGTGGCTAGTGACTTGAAAAAGAGTATTCGTGTGAGTTCTGTCAAAGAGAATGTGGTTGGTCTTACTCAGTGATCCCAACAGACCTGCTGTAGGAAGCATAACTATACTCCTTGCACTAAACTTTGAACCTTTGGAAGATAGGAACAGACTTATATTTATCAGCACCTAATACAGAATTTTATTACAGAGGGACTTTAGAAATATCTATTGAATGAATGAAAAAGTCAGAAGTTAGGAGTGTGCCTCTCCTACCTGCCCCCCAACCCTCACAAACATCTGAATTCTAAAGTTACCCTGCCATTCATTAATTTATTTTAATTTTTAAAAATGTGCTGAGGGCCAGGTATGGTGACTCATGCCTGTAATCCCAGCCCTTTGGGAGGCCGAGGTGAGTAGGAGTTCAAGACCAGCCTGGGCAACATGGCGAGACCTCATCTTTACAATACATCAAAAAAAAAATTAGTCAAGTATGGTGGTGTGCACCTGTAGTCCCATCTACTCAGGAGGCTGAGGCCGAAGGATCACCTCAGCACAGCAGGTCAAGGCTGCAGTAGCTGTGAGCATACCTTTGCACTCTAGTCTGGGAGACAGAGACTGTGACTCAGAAAAAAAAAAGGGGGCTAAGTACAAACAACATGTTTAAATGAACTTTTAGTTTCAGAAGTTTTAGATTTACAAAATTTATTAAGATACTACAGAGAGTTCCAGTATACCCTATATCCAGTTTCTCCATTATTAATATCTTACTTTAGTACATTTTTTATAATTAGTGATCCAGTACTAACACATTAACTGAAGTCTATATTTTATTCAGATTTACTCAGTTTTTCCCAAGACCTTTTTCTGTTCCAGGATGACATCCGGGATAGCACATTACATTTAGTAGTCATGTCTCCTTAGACTCTTCTTGACTATGACAATTTTTTAGACTTTCCTTATTTTTTATGCTCTTGACTGTTTTGAGGATTACTGGTCAGGTACTTTGAAGAATATCCTTCAATTGAGATTTGTCTGGTGTCTTTCTCATGGTTAAACTGGGGTTATGAATTTTTGGAAGACCATAGAGGTACCATTCCCATCACATCATATCAAGGATACATATTATCATTATGACTTAGCATTATTTTTTATATGGACTCACAACCAAGATAACTTATCACTATTGATGTTAACCTTGATGTCCTGACTGGAAGTGGTGGTTGTCAGTTTTTGCCATTGTAAAGTTGTTATTTTTTTCCTCCCTACTGTACTCTTTGGAAGAAAGTCACTAAACACAGCCCACAGTTAAAGACAAAATTTTCTTTTTCTTTTTTTATAAGTTGGAGTCTCACTCTGTTGCCCAGGCTGGAGTGCAGTGGCACTCTCACGGCCACCCAGCGTCGACCTGCTAGGTTCCCGCGATCCTTCCACCTCAGCCTTCCAAGTAGCTGGAACTACAGGCGTGCGCTACCATGCCTGGCTAATTTTTTGATTTATTGTAGAGATGAGGTCTCGCTGCCCAGGCGGGTCTCGAACCTGTGGGCTCAGGCAATCCACTCACCTCAGCCTCCCAAAGGCGCGGGATTACAGGCTGAGCCACCGAGCCTGGCTTGTTTTCTTGTCTTACTGTGGTAGCTAGGACTTATATAGTACAGTGTTGAATAGGAGTGGTGAGAGAGGACATTCTTACCTTGTTCCCAATCTTAGGGAAAAAGTGTCCAGCTTCTTACTATTAAGTATAATGTTAGCTATAGATATTTTGTAGATGTTCTTTATCAAATTGAAGACGTTTCTATTCCTAGTTTGCTGAGAATTTTGACTATGTTATAGAAATATTTTAAAGAAAATAAAAGAAAAAGGAAAAAATCCTACTTCATTAATAATTCAGCTAGTTTTCCTTTTTTACAAATTTTATATATTAAAATAAAGTATACTCAAAAGAGGTCTAGCAGAGAGATATTATACAATTATAATTATATAAACAAAGGGAGGCATTATTTTACATACTTGGTAATTAGAATGCAAATTTAATTTCACATAAATTATGCAATATTACTTTTTCACCTAAAGTTATATCATAGATCGTTTTTAATGTTCCTACATGTACTTCAAAATCATAGTTTTTGGTGTCTCTGTAATTCATTAATTCATTTTAAAGCATTTATTGCACATCCATTATATATCAGGAACTGATAACAGATATAAAAAGAATAAAGCATATACCCTACTCTCAGGGGCCTACAGTCATGGGAACAAATGCTTAATAATATAATGTGTTTAAGTTGCCTTCATGGCAATATGAGCAGAGAGTTTTGGAAGTATGGAAGATGAATGGGGCAGTTAACTCTAGGGAAAACAGAAAATTCGTCTTCAAAGAAGTGACATTTGATATGACTTCTTAAATGATAGATAGGAATTTTCCAGATGAAGAAATAGTAATGTGTGCAAAGGTTTAAGCTGTGCAAGAGCCTAAATTGTTTCAGGAACAAGTTAATGACTTAGAAGCTTAAGATTCATTAGGAAGGACACTAAATGAAGATTGGAAAGTAGACTGGGCTAGTCTGTGAAATGGGCTAACTTTCAAAATAAGAAATTTTGTTTTCCAGATGGAATCAGTAGAAACCCTAAACAGTGGAGTGGCAGGATCTACTTTATATATTTACCAGGATACCTATGGGGTAGTATGGGAGATAAATTCTGCATGTTGAGATACTATAACTTACCAAATGATTTGCATATTTTGGGGACATTTAAAGTTGTTTATAATTAATTGCTATTCTAAATAATATAAAATGTATATCTTTATGCATTTGACCATTATATTATTTTGCAACTTTTCTTAGGACAAATTTTGGAGAATGAGATATAGCTTATCAATTCTTTTTGAGATAAATTTTGGTGTGTTTTATTAGTTTGTTATGCATTATGTGAAATTTTATTCCATACATATTTTTCTCAATACAATTTGATATACATCTGTTAAACATTTACCTAGTGCTATTTATAATTGTAGATGCTGTGAGCAAAACCATGAATACAATTCAAGGGGCTTACAATCTAGTTGGTTGATAAAGAATATACTATAAGATATTATGGACGTCTTTGAATGCTAAGCTGAGAAATAGGAATTGTATTCTATAGGAAATCAGGCAGTGTCTAAAATTTTAATTAGGGCAGAGATGTAGTCCCAGCCACATCTTAGAAAGAACACATTTGTTGCAATAGGTGAGACAAATGAGAAGAAGAGACTTGAAAGGAGACTTGTGAAAATGTTATTAGTAGTCAAAAGAAATAAAATATTGGCTTATGGTATAGAGAAATGGAAATGATCTATTTAAGATTCATAGACTTAATTCTTTGATAAAAATGAGACAAAAACAATCCTAAATGTGGACAAAACTGACAAACACTCTCCTTTGTGGCCATTTCACATTTTGTAATATCCAGTATCCCAATATCTGTTCATTTCTGGAATAAAATAGAAGAAGGGGATTCACATTGATTAAGGTGATTTTCCATAGTAAAAACAATATTTGAAAATCTAATAAATTTGAAAATGTGTCATTTGTGACATCTCAGTGACAGAATAACAGGCTGGGTAGATATTGAATTATTTTATGTGATCACTATAATAACCCCATGAGGTAGTTATTAGGAAGTTTTTGAGAAGTTTGTTGTAGGAGAAACAACACTGAATTGGGGACTAATGTAATCTAAAGCAAAGCATTTTACTTTCCATAGGCATCTGAATCACTTGAGGATTTTGCTAAAATGTAGGTTCTGATTTAAAAGGTCTGGGAAAGGGCCTGAGAGTGTGCAATCCCCCCCCCCTTTAATTTATTTTAAAATTGTGGGGTAAAATTCAGGGTTAGTTTTACAAATATTCATTGTGCAACTACCCTTGCTGATGAGGTGTGTCCCCACTTTCCCAGGCAGTTTCCCACTATTGCCAATCCCATCTCCCTGCCCCCCATGCCCCTGCAGTTTCCTGCTACTGTCAATCCTTTTCTTATAGTCTTACGATAGTTGTTCAAAGTCTGCTTATGAGTGAGAACCTGTGATACTCAGTTCTTTGTTCTGTGAAAGATCACTCAGTATTATAGACTCTAAGTCCATCCAGGTTGCTGCGAAGTTCATGATTTTGTTCTTCTTTATGGCTGTGTAATGTTCCATTGTGTATATGTATCACATTTTTTTAATCCATTCTTCTTTTGATGGGCATCATGGTTGGTTCCGTGTTCTTGCTATTGTGAACAATGCTGCAATAAACATATGTGTACAAGTATCTTTCTTATAGAGTGATTTGAGTTCTTCTGGGTATATTCCCAGTAGGGGGATTGCGGGGTCATATGGAAGGTCAATTTTTAGAACTTTTAGAAATTGCCACACTGTTTTCCACAGAGGCTGTACTAGTTTACGTTCCCACCAACTGTGTAGAAGTATTCCCTTTATGGCAAATCCTCTCCAGCATCTGTTATTTTTTGAATTATTGATGATGGCCATTCTGACTGGAGTTAGGTAGTATCTCAGTGTAGTTTTACTTTGCATTTCTTTGATGACTAGTGAGGCTGAACATTTTTTCATTTATCTGTTGGCTGCTTTTAAGTCTTCTTTTGAGAACTGTCTATTCATATATTTTGCCCACTTTGTAATGGGGCTGTTTGTTTTTTTCTTTTCAGCACGTTTGAGTTCTTTGTAGATCCTAGATGTTAGACCTAATAATCTCCCAAATAATGCACCTACTTCTGGTCCATAGACCACACTTTGGTAGCAAGGATCTAGAGCAGTCATTCTCAAATTTCAGTGCATTTTTGTTGGGCATTTAGCTCGTTTCACTTTTTTTTTTTGTTTGAAAGCAAGATTTGTTGAGAGGACAGAAAAGCTCCCACAGGGGGAGGGGATCAAGTAGGTTACCCAGTTGTTTCACTTTTGTATTATGAACAGTGCTGGCCTTATTTTTCTTTAACATAAATCTTTGTCAGCAATGCTGAATATTTCTTTAAAAGGCTGAAATAGACATTTTACTAACACTCTCTTCAGGATATGTTCCTGTTTTACTTCATTTTTACTCATATAAAAGACTGTTACTCAGTGTTCATAACTCTGTGTCCAAATAATTAAAACTTCAGCTGGGATAATTAGAATTTCTGGGGACTGGCTGCATATTTAAAAAATTTCAGACATTCTCTTCATGTGGCTAAGGGTGGACTTCCTCACACTATGGTGGACTCTCAGTAGTTGGATTTCTTACATGACTGCTGGCTTCCACCAAAGCAAGCTTTCAAAGAGGCCCAGGCAGAAGCTGCAGGACTACTTACTTATGAGTTAGTCTTGGAAGTCATTCAGTGTCATTTCAGCTGTATGCTGTTAATCAAAATCAGGTCATAAAGATAAGTCAAATTCAAGGAGAAGGAACTACACAGGGTGCAAAAACTGGACGATATGGAGATTGTGTGTGTGTGTGTGATTTAATTGACTTTTTTTTCAGAAAACTTATTCAAATGTGTTTTGGCTATTTACAACTTATGAAGATAATTCTCAAGTTGCTATGAATGTTTTTTTATTTATTGCAGGAAAATCCTGAAGAAGGAAGGGCCAGTATTTACAAATCAGTGATCATCAATACTTCTAAGGAAATGATGTGCTTCAGTGACTATCCCATCCCAGATCATTATCCTAACTTCATGCACAACTCCAAGGTCCTGGAATATTTCAGGATGTATGCCAAAGAATTTGACCTTGTAAAGTATATTCAATTTAAGGTAGGGAATTTTGTGGGTGTCTTTGAAGTTGCTTGTCAAGGAAATGAGTAATGTGGTTTCATTTACCAATATTTACTTCTAAAGATTGGCTTGATATGTGCTTGTATCTATCCTATTCAGGCAAAGATTCCACTCTTTATCCTCTCTTGGATGGTCTGTCTTTTATATATTTTGGCTACAGATACAGGAGGCCATATGCCAGAATGTTTTTATTACTTTCATTTTACACTGTTTACAATAAAACCGATAAGGGGGAATATTTTCTCAGTTACAGAAGGAAACTGATAGGTATGGGAACTTTAAAAACTCTGGTTCCACAACTTGTTGACTACTGCCTAGCCCTTTTATACCTTCTGAAGTACTTTCCAATACATTATTCTATATGATCATCACAACAACCTAGTGAAGTAGTTATTGGGAAGTTATTGAGGAAGCAAAGATGTTAACTGAGGTGTAGAGGAAGAACACTGAACTGGGGAACAAAAACCGGAATTCTGGCCCTTGCTCTGTCACTAACTAACTTGTGATGGTAGACAAGTTCCTCAACTTCAATGTGTCTTACTTTCTTTGATTGTAAAACAAGGTGATTGCAATAGACCACTTCAGTGATTCCTTCCTGCTCTAAAGTCTTCCATCGTTTGTCTATAATTTGTAACCAAGACCACAAAAGAACAGATATTTCTGACACTGGCAAAAAGCCCAAACCTGCATTCTAACCATTCTGCTAAATCATGCCCTTTTCTGTTTAACAACAATAATAAAATGGTAACATTTAGCGACAACTTCAAAAGTAAGTCATGTATAGCCCAGTGGTGCTTCTCTTTACTTGTTTAGACAACACTGTTGAACAAGTTTGTCACCATACTAAGCAGTGAAGATGCAAAGACAAAAAAGAAATATCAGTAACTTTACAGTCTCATTAAGAAGACAAAAAAATGAAACATAAATTTTCTTATACATATAATGAAAAAAATAAATGAAGAGTAACAGGGTGATATATAGAGATCTATGAAGGGGGACCACTACCCCCCAAATGGAATTATCTTTTGGAGGGCAGTATATAAATTATACTCAGAATTTATTCCTCTGGATCAAACAGTCAACCAAAGTTGTTATCTTGAAGTTTTGAGAAGGTTGCATTACAATTTGCAGAAGAAAGTCCCAAGTTGTGGCAAACTGGTGACTGGTTCTTCCATCATGACAATGCACCTGCCATACCACACTGCTCAGCAGTTTTTGACCAAAAACAGCATGACCCCTGTGCTGTACCCTCCCCATTCACCAGATCTATCCCCTTTTTTGGGTTTGTTTCCTGATTTAAAAACTCCTCAGAGGGAAACGGTTTGCCAGTGTGGGAGAGGTGAAACAAAAAATGGTTTAAGTACCAAAAGGCATAAAAATCAATGAGTTCAGAAACTATTTTGAGCAGTGGAAAAAGCATCTTTATAGGTGACACTTAATGAAGAGTACTTTGAAGGTGACTGAATTAAACATATAAGGATACATACACAATTTTTAAAAATTCCAGGGTTTTTTGAGGGTACCCCTCTTGTATACATTTCAACTCAGAGGAGAGCTGCTGAACCTATCAAGACATGAAGCATTAGGTTCCAGGAAAGTTTTCTTAGAAGAGAAAATGTCCAAGCTGAGTCATGATGGATGAGTAGGAGTCTACCAAATGAAGAAGGAATAAAAGGGTGATCTGGGTAGAGGCACTAGCCTGGGTAAAAAAGAACATGACAGAAAGGAACTATAAACAGTGCTGGATGGCTACAGCATACAAGGGTGGTGTCTCTATTAGTCCACAAAAACATTATAATCATAGGCCCCAGAAGCACGTAGTGTTTCCTTAGGCTGAGTAGAGTAACCCATATTTATTATTTTTGTTTAAAAAAAAAAGCTAAAAATTATACCACTATCCATCTCACAGTATCTTTCCTTATAGTTACTTGCAAAATGAGCTCCATAGGAGGCAAAGAGAGATTTGTTTATATAAAATGAGAGCCACTGAATTTTCTACTCTATTAGGAAAATGAGCCCTGTAGCTCAGTTACGTGTTGAAAGCTAGCCAGTGAGAACAAGACTTGGGCTAAGAAGACAACAGAGGGTCTTGGGATATCTGGGAGTTGGGAGAATAATAGGCATTTAGTGTCTGGAGTGTCACAGAAGCCCAGGCTTTATCCAGATGTCACAGTGCCTTAGGGCATAGGCAAAGAGGCACAGTGACTTGCACTTTTCTAGAAGCAGAAAATTCATTAGCTAGCCAATGCTTGTTCCTTTATTCTGCCTCATGGAAGTTGTCTCACTCTGATCACAACCCCAAACAAGACAGTTTTTATTTGTGGAGTATGAAAATCAAATATCCCTGCATGGGCTTTATGATGTGATGGTGCCTGTGATGTCAGCCCTTTATGTAACATTCTCCAAGGAAAGTAATGTCAGGGGTGTCTTCTGTCTAGGTTGTGATTAAAGTCCCCTGTATTTATCACGTTTCTTTTCAGACCACTGTGTGCAGTGTGAAGAAGCGGCCTGATTTCTCTACTTCAGGCCAGTGGGAGGTGGTCACTGAGTCTGAAGGGAAAAAGGAGATGAATGTCTTTGATGGAGTCATGGTATGCACTGGCCATCACACCAATGCTCACCTACCCCTGGAAAGCTTCCCTGGTGAGTCACCTACCAGGAACGAAGATCCCTGAATCATGCCTGTAATCTGACCCCTGAAGAATGGGAGGATTGCAGTTTGAGTGATTCCTTTGGGATGAAGTAAGGCTTATTCTAACTCTGCACTTTCTCCTGAAAGATGTTAGGGTAACTCGAATTATTGACATTTTGGGGGTAGAGATAATTGTAACTTTGAAGATTAAATGAAAATTAGGATTCTATCTATTCAGTTTCACAATGGCTTTAGTTTTCCTAAGGATCAAAGAAAAAATGTGGAGTTCTTGGTCACCATTAGGTTGAATGAGGAATTTTTCGGCAATCAAGCAAACCAACAGAAATATTGAGTTTCTAAGAAAGAAATAAAAGCTTGAAGAATTTAATTTCAGTCTTTGGCCTGCGTTTTCATTTTGAAAAAAATGTACTCTATGTATATCCTAGAGCATATAAGAATATATATCTCAGGTCATCTTGACAATAAGGAAAAAAAAAGAACATGTATTCTAATTGAAATGAGAGTAAGTATTTAAGAGGATGGAAAGACAAAAGAGAATGGAGGTTTTCTGGGGTAGTTTGGATTTGTGAGTCTACAGATCCAAAATACAAACAGATTCTGAGTTAAGCAAACTACTTATGATAAGGAAATCCTACTCTGAGGCTATGGAAAATAAAATAAGCAAAAATATTCAGAAAGGCAAGAAAGTAGCTGAATAAATGGGAGAACATATGGAGAATATTCGCTTAAACTTTAAACTCTGCAAAAAGATCAAGTGATTTAACAAATTATATCCATCATATAAACCATCACCCAATAATCATTTTCCCTTCTCTTACAGGAATTGAGAAGTTCAAAGGACAATACTTTCACAGTCGAGACTATAAGAACCCAGAGAGATTCACTGGAAAGAGAGTCATTATAATTGGCATTGGGAATTCTGGAGGGGATCTGGCTGTGGAGATTAGCCACACAGCCAAGCAGGTTTGAATCAGTAAATTACATTGCCTCACTCTAGCTTCACTCTCACCAAGGAAACTGCAGATGGACCCGAGAGCGAGTACAGATACCTGCAATAGATCATCAGTGAAAGTGACAAGTATAGAGCTTGGTTTCATTGCCTCCATTGACAACATTATGATCAATAGTAATGGAGGAGTCAAGGACACCAGTTAGAGTTCCATCATTTAGTTGACCTCACACTAATAAATTAAGTCATAGCTACAGACTGTGCTCATGATCCCAATCAGCCACCTTCTCAGAGTGTGCCTCTGGCTTTGATAAATACCAAGTAATTGCTGGGAAAGGTTGTTAGAATGCAGCTTTCAGAACATGGATATTCTGCTGGCAAGTAGAGTGCCAGGTTCTGATGGAAAGGAAAGCACACTTGTGATCATTGCCAACATTTCATTCATAAAATGGTGGGTGAATTTTCCTTTTTGCTCCCCAAATGGGAAAAAGAAGCAATCTAATCTTTCAAAACATAATGTCAATATCAGTATAAAGAGCATCTATGCTGTAGAGCATGCAAACAACCTAGTCTGCCCCAGCCTTTGCATACATTTAGATGACCCAGAATGATATTCACTCTAAAGCAATTTCTATCTCCCTTTTTGGTTTTGTTTTGGTGTTTGAATCATATAGATTTTGAACTGAAAAGATAGCGTCTTCACTATAAATTCCTGGAAAAATAATATTATTTTTTGTCAATTATGTGTTTATTGAATCATAACTTTCTTGGCAATAGGTAAATGTCTGATTGTTTTTCAGTAACTAATCTGTGCTTCTCCACAAAGATACTTTCAATTACTATTTTAAAATAGAAGTTTAGACGGGCTCGGTGGCTCAGCCTGTAATCCCGTGCCTCGGGAGGCTGAGGTGAGTGGATTGCCTGAACCCGTGGGTTCGAGATCCGCCTGGGCAACTTGGCGAGACCTCATCTCTACAATAAATAAAAAATTAGCCGGATGTGGTAGCGCGTGCCTGCAGTTCCAGCTACTTGGAAAGCTGAGGCAGAAGGATCGCCGGAGCTCAGCAGGTCGAGGCTGTGGTGGCCGGGAGCGGCCACTCCACTCCAGTCTGGGCGACAGAGTGAGACTCCAACTCACAAAAATAAAAAATAAAAAATAAATAAAATAGAAGTTTAATGCCACAATTTTGTTAAATGACCTTTACTCAGCAATTTTGTTCCAATAACATTTCTTCTCAGTACTATCCTCATCTATAACCACAAAAGTGATTCCATATGTTACCCCGTGAATTAATTCAACAAGCATTTATCATAAAATAATTTATATAAACAAGAAAGTGTAACAACATGTGTGGGTGCTATGGTAGAAGAATGTGCAAGATATGTAGTGGGGACCCGTGGCAGGAGCCTTCTTTAATGCCATAGGGTTCAAACGATCAGTTCTAAGGAGCTGGGCTTTACCTGCCATGAGAAACTATAGTTTGCCAAAGAACAAAACATTCAGAGGGGAGGAGATAAGGTAGCTATGTTGTGAGAAAGCCTAGGAAAATGGATAGTAAAACTATATCTGCATACCTGGAGCAACACTGTCACACCACTTATGCAAGCTGAAGAAACTCAGTCGCTAAGTTCTACCTTTTTTCCTTTTTTTTTTTTTTTTTTTTTTGAGTTGGAGTCTCATTCTGTCGCCCAGACTGGAGTGCAGTGGCCGCTCCCGGCCACCGCAGCCTCGACCTGCTGGGCTCCGGCGATCCTTCCGCCTCAGCCTTCTGAGTAGCCAGAATTACAGGCATGTACTACCATGCCTGGCTGGTTTTTTATTTATTGTAGAGATGAGGTCTCGCCAAATTGCCTAGGCGGGTCTCCATCCCGCGGGCTCAGGCAATCCACTCACCTCAGCCTTCCAAAGGCGTGCGATTACAGGCTGAGTCACCGAACCCGGCTAAATCAAAAACTTTAAATGAACCTGCACGCTTTGGTATGATTCTTCTGGTATATAATGCTTTTGAAAAGAGGAAAAAAAGAAAGAAAAGAAAAGAGAAAACATCCCTTTCTTACAAGATTAATTTCATGTAAGATGACACTGACTAAACAATTTTACTTACTTTTTTTGTTATAAATCCAGATTTGTAAATATGTTGTTTGCTTAAAACAAGGTATAGGTGCAAACCTGAAATAAGTATGACAGCCATTTAGTATTAATATTGATGAAATGTTTACTATATATACTATATCTTTTACCCCCCAAAATTGTTTAATTTGCATAACAGCCTTGTGTTATGTACATAACTATAGTGCTTAAAGTTACCATAGGTGAGACTATATTTGTGAAGTAAAAGATTACCCCTCTGTAGTTAGGTCATCTTTTTATATGAGACCTTAGACAAAAGACCATGAAGCAATGTACTTATAAATCTTACAACTCTAGAAACCACCTCCAGAGAATTTTGTAATGAAGAAAAAAATGATACTTTTGCCAAGTAATTGACTACCAAACCTTTATCAGCTCCGAACATGGACTTTATCCAACAGAAGACACAGGAAGATTTACCAGTTTCCTGTTGTTCTACTAGCAATCTTAATTTTTTTCCCATTAAATAATCAATAAAACATTTCTTAAGCACAGGCTTTGGAGTCAGTCAGACCAGGGTTGGAAATTCAGGTCTGCCTCTTACTTGCTGTATGATCTCAGGCAAATTATTCATCCTCTCCATCCCTCTTTCCACAAGATAGGAGTAATAATACTTTCCTCAAGAGATTGTTGTATTGACTATATAAGAATACAGATAAAGGACCTAGCACGGTGACTTATAGGCCACGAATCTCATTAAACAAAAGTGATGATGTGCTGTGGAGACCAAAAAAAAAAAAAAAAAAATGTGTAGAAAGTCCATCTGAAGAGACAGAAATTAAGAGAGTAGAAATTTTAATGCTCAATATAAATGATAAATAGGCTTTTTTGTAACAATACAAATAATGCCAATGGCAAAAAAGACTGAGGATTTTGGATTAAATGCTCTGCAGTTACTTCCAGCTTTACTGTTCCTTGATTTTTAACAAGTTCTATAAGTGATAAGTGCTAGGGAAGTTCAGAAGATGGAAAAAAAATTGTCAGCTTGAGTGGTTAGAGGTTTCCTCACGGAGGAGGCATTCTTGATCTAGATCTTAAAAATGATTTGGCCTTGGAGAGTTAAGAGAAAAGAGTGCTTTTCAAGCAGGCATAATGGCACCAAACAAATAAAATGGTGGGTCAGAGCAAGTCATATTCTTGGATAGTGAATACACCAATTACTTGTAAGCTTAGTATTTGGGAAGGAAAACAAATGGCAAGAAACAAACAAAAAACCCCCACAAAGATTGTGCAGGGACTAAAAAGCCAGACTAATGAATTTAAACTGAATCTTGAGAAAAATAGGAGTGCTTTTGAAGGTTTATGAACCAGAGTGACCAAAGCAAACAATTTCTCCCATGCCCCAGGTTTTCCTCAGCACCAGGAGAGGGACTTGGGTCCTGAATCGTGTAGGAGACTACGGATATCCTTTTGATGTGTTGTTCAATTCTCGACTTAAACATTTTGTGACGAAGATTTGTGGTCAATCATTAATAAATGCATTTTTGGAAAAAAAGATGAATAAAAGATTTGACCATGAAATGTTTGGCCTGAAACCAAAACACAGGTATGTTCTCAGGCCGGGAGTGCAGGGGTAATGGCCAAGGCACAAGAATAAGGACAGGTCACATAGTCTAATCATAGAGCTACTTCTACCCATACATTAAGAATGCCCACAGAAGTCTAAGACCTACCAGTCTGCAGGTTTTCAGTCTATAATTCCCTGTGGAATTAACCATTTTCTCATATCCCCAGATTTCAGTTATTTTGACATGATGTCCAACATCAGCAATGAAATGATAGTAGAGGGCAGTGCATTATTTGTTCGTTCATCTAACAAACATTGAGCACCTGTTACGGGCCAGGCACCATGCTGGGCATGAAATACAGAAAGGGAAGACATAATAGTAATTCTAACACAAATAATAACATCTCACTTTTCTGAGGAATTTCCATAAGACAAGCAAAGTACAAGATGAGTTATATACATCATCTCACTTAATCCTCATAATAGCCTTACAGGTTGATACTATTTTAATCTCTGTTTTACAGATATAAAAATTGACACTTAGAGAAACTAAGTAATTTGCCCGAGGTTAACACAAGTTATACATGGTGGAACTCAAGAAATGGATCTTATCTTAAATACTCTAATGAGAAGAGAGGCAACAAAGTATAATAAAGAAATAGAGTGCTATGAGAGTATAAAGGATGAGGTCCTCAACAGAGCCAGGGAGGGAAAGCATTCTAGAGGCTGATTTTAAATTCTTTTTCCCACCAACTTTTTACTTTTTGAAAATGTTAAGATTTACAGAAAAGTTGCAGAGTAGTAAGTACAATGAGCACCCATATACCCTTTACTTGGATTGTCTTATTAACAGTTTGCTATATTTGCTTTCTTTTCCTCTCTCTTTAGATAGATCGAGTCACACATATATAGCATGCATATATAGTGTATATATATATATATATATATATATATTTAAGTTGTAGTCTCACTCTGTTGCCCAGGCTGGAGTACAGTGGCATGCTCACCATCACCACAACCTCGAACTGCTGGGGTCAGGTGATCCTTTCGCCTCAGCCTTTCAAGTAGCTGGAACTACAGGCACACACCACCACTCTTGGCTAATGTTTTTGATTTGTTGTAGAAATGAGGTCTCACCAAGTTGCCCAGGCAGTCCTCTCACCTTGGCCTCCCAAAGTGCTGGGATTATAGGTGTGAGCCACTGTGCCCAGCCACAGTACATATTTTTCCTGAACCATTTGAAAGTAATCTGTAGTCATCAAGATACTCTATCCCAAATACTTAGCATATGAAAAAAGGCATTCTCCTACATAATGATAATATAATTATCATACTTGGGAAATTTAATATTGATAAAATATATTATCTAATATATTGGCATAGTCAAATTTTCCCAGTTGTCCCAATATTTTTATAGCTTTTTTTCTTTTTAAAATCCAGGATCCTGTCAAGTATCAGGCACGCTGTCGCATTTAGTTGTACTGTCTCTTTAACCTGAAATAAGTCTGTATTCCTTTTTTTAAGAATCCAAGCCACTGTTTTGTAGAAAGTTTCTAAATTTGGACCAGCATGGGTGTTTTTCCTTTATTATATTCAGGTAAAATATCTTTGGTACATGTGCTATGTAGGTGATGTCGATCTTCTTGGTAGGTCACCTAAGGAGCCACATAATGTCAATTTATCTCATGATGTCAGTTTATTCCATAGTAATGATGCTAAATTTGATCACTTAGATAAGTGGTATCTGTCAAATTTCTACAGTAAAAATATGTTTTTCCCTTTGAGATTAATCATTAAGGTGATATTTGGAGACTGTTCCCCAAAAACTTTTCACCTAATTTTTTTAGCATGCATGTCTTTAGCAGTTGCAAAATAAATTGAAGCTCTATGGAATAATAGGATAGCCAAACAAATAGGGTGAAGGAGTAGCATTCTAATTATAAGTCCAAAGTCTTGGAATAGCAAAAAGTACATTTTGCTCTAGGACCCCGCACGTAGTCTGGTATGGCTGGACTACACAGCAAGAGTGGAAGAGTGATTGAATATGTCTCCAGGTTCATCAAGCATGAAAACCTTTGTATGCTCTGATAAATAAAAGGTCTGGAATGAACACAGCCCAAAACCATTCAAAAATTTTAAGCAAGTGAGTGACATAATAGTAAATACATTTTAGAATGATTATTCCAAAACTGGTATAGAAGAAGGATGGGACAGGAGGCCCTAAAGACAACTGTAACCATCCAGGTAAGGAAGTGGTTTAGATAAAACTGTTCTGAGAATGTTAAGAGAAAAAGGGAAAAGCCTTGGTCACCAGATGTAAGACTCATGGTTCTATGACTTGAGCAACTCTGTGGATGATGACACTGCTAGAAAAAAGAAGCAGATTTGGAGAGAACAGTGAAATCATGAGGTTGTAATGCAGAACAGAATCTACCTAATGGTTAGAGTCAAAGCATAGCTAAATGCAACAAACCAGTAATAGCTGTTTAAATATATACTATCCCTGAGGCTAGACCAGCAGTGTCTGAAAATGATGGCCTAAGGATTCTGAGTTAACTTATGATTCAAGAATGAAGACTGCTTTTTAGAAATCTCTAAGATACTAGAAACCTGCCTTATTATTATTTGGTAACTTTATCCTATGCGGCACCTAGAAAACACTATTTAAACAAGCTCAAAGTCTCCTGAAGGAATTCATTGAAAATTACTTTGATATAAATTCCAAATTCCTAGAATTTAGAATTGTTCTTAGAATTTAGAATTCTTAACTTTTCTAGGCCTCCAATTCCTCATCAAGAAAACCAGGACAATGATACCTGTCCTGCCTCCTAATAGAGTTTTGTGAGAATCAAATAAGTTAATGCACATAATGCAACTTATAAACTGTAAATTTTTATATATGTGTAATTTCTTACACGGTTTGGAAAATTATGGTCTAAGTCTAGTTCTAGGATTTTGAAACTAGAAATGAGACTGAACAGAATGTTGGTTCTGTCAGACTTCCTGATATGTAGATAGAAACTATTGGCCACTATTCAATCTAAGGCTACTATCTGTGGCCTTATATCACAGAACATTACTGTTTCTTGAGAAACTACATGCACTCCTCAAATAAGACTCTTCTTTCTTCACTCCTCCAACACCCTCCCTTTTAATGCTACCCAAAGTCCTGCTTCAGCTCTGAGATCTTGATCTGCGTCAAGCTGGTATAAATTAGACCTTTCCCAAATTTTATGAATAGGAGATCATTGGATATTGATTACCTATATCAAAGCAAAATGTTACTCATATGGCGCTGATCTCTTTCTTATTTTTCCTTCTCTCGTTCTTTATCACCACTCACAGAGCTCTGAGTCAGCATCCAACAATAAATGATGACCTGCCAAATCGTATAATTTCTGGCTTGGTGAAGGTAAAAGGAAATGTGAAGGAATTTACAGAGACAGCTGCCATATTTGAAGATGGCTCCAGGGAGGATGACATTGATGCTGTTATCTTTGCCACAGGCTATAACTTTGCCTTTACTTTTCTTGAAGACTCTGTCAAAGTGGTCAAAAACAAGATAAGCCTGTATAAAAAAGTCTTCCCTCCTAATCTGGAAAGGCCAACTCTTGCAATCATAGGCTTGATTCAGCCCTTGGGAGCCATTATGCCCATTTCAGAGCTCCAAGCACGCTGGGTTACTCAGGTATTTAAAGGTAAGTGATAGTGCATATTGACCACTTAAGTACTTAGCGGTATGTTTAATTCTGCTTTATGTACTTGCTTTTAAATAGTGACACAGTGTGTATGGTTATAACAATGCCTAGCACAAAGTTAGTACTGGTAAATTTATTTTTGAGTGAATCTAAAGTAGTAATTTGTAACCATGGACATGCCTAAGAGTCATCTCAGAAATTTTTCCAAACTAGGCATGCTTTGACTTCATCCCTGGTGATGCTTATTTCATAAGTCTGGAGCGGAGCATGCATAAGATCACTATGTCCTAGTAATTCTAATATGCACTCCAGATTTGAATCCACTTATATAGATTTTAGACAGCTGGCATATATTTGCGAAGTAAAAGAACTTTATTTTCTTTTATTACAGATAAAGTCAAATATAGACATGATATGACTTGATTTCAGCCAAAAATTAAGACCTGGTTGGAGACAAGCCCATCATGTAGAATATTCAGCCTCTCAAATCCTCACTTTCCCTCCTTTATCTTCTCTCTTTCAGTTTTGGTTAGAAGTACATGGGAAAAAAAATTCAGTATTTGGGATAGTAGGCTCAAGATGAGTTAGTAGAATGATGTGACTGCCAAAAGGCATAATTAAATCTAGCATCATTAAAAATTATAACATCCTAGCCGGGCTTGGTGGCTCAGCCTGTAATCCCACGCCTTTGGGAGGCTGAGGTGAGAGGATTGCCTGAGCCTGCGGGTTCGAGACCCGCCTGGGCAACTTAGTGAGACCTCATCTCTACAATAAATAAAAAAATCAGCCGGGTGTGGTAGCGCACGCCTGTAATTCTGGCTACTTGGAAGGTTGAGGCGGAAGGATCACCAGAGCCCAGCAGGTCGAGGCTGCAGTGGCCGGGAGCGGCCACTGCACTCCAGTCTGGGTAACCGAGTGAGACTCCAACTCAAAAAAACAAACAAAACAAAACAAAAAAATTATAACATCCTAAACAGTACAACTGTTCTTCTCTAAGCTGGTGGCCATACCACATCTGAAGACATATTTCAAAAGCGATGCTGGAATTCATTAAATAAGGAGAGAGATAAGAATGCTTTAAGGGATTTGAAAATATGCCATTCTGGCTGTGCCTGGTGGCTCACACCTATAATCCCAGCACTTTGGGAGGCTGAAGTGAGAGGATTGGCTGAGCTCATGAGTTTGAGACCAGCCTAGGCAACTTGGCAATACCTCGTCTCTACAATAAATCAAAAAATTAGCCAAGTGTGGTGGTGCATGCTTGTAGTTCCAGTTACTTGGGAGGCTGAGGTGGAAGAATCACCTGAACCCAGCAAGTTGAGGCTGCAGTGGCTGTGAGTGTGTCACTGTACTTCAGCCTGGGTGACAGAGTGAGACTCCAACTCAAAAAAAAAAAAAAGAAAAGAAAAGAAAGAAAAATATGCCATCTAAAGTACAATTGAAAAAACTGGAGCGATTTAGCCTGGAAAAGATAAGATCCAAGGAGAAATGCAAATTACCTTCAAAGTGTTGAAGTATGAATAGCCCATGGAAGAAGGATTAGATTTACTCAGTATAGTTTTAAAGGGTCAAACCAGAATCACATGAAATCCTGAGGATTGTACAATATCAGCTTAATATTAAGAAAAAACCTCAAAGTGTTTTCCTATCAGAAATGGTCTAATTCTGAAATTGTGAGGAATCCAAGAAGAATAGGGAAAGGATGCCAAATGACTGGATAGCCATTTGGCCAGGGGTATATGGAGTAGATTCAAGCCTCAGAATATAGAGAAACTACCTGACCTTTAGGTTCCTTCTAAAGAATAAAATAATTGATTATACAGTTGTTATGATAAAATTTGATATCATTACTAATATTTGATTAAAACTATTCAGAGTTCCTGTTGGAATTACTGCTGTCTCTTCCCTATGAAGATCTTCGTGGCAGCAGAGAAAAAATAAGCAAATGGTATTAGAGTTGATAGATCAAAAACTTTTCCGTATTTCCCGAAGTGTTTATCATTTCTCAATTCCTTCCAGTCCTGTCCAGTAGTTTATGTACTCCTTGAGAGAAATAAATAAGCAATCAAGTGTAAGTAACCAATTAGGTCTGCTTAATACTAGTCATATTAAATAGATGTTTTAATTGGATCAATTAAATAAGAGAAGAAAGGTTCATTAAAACAGGCCACAACATCTTAGTATACTTTAAGCTACTGAGACTCTTTTTCAAGTTTAAGTGATCTATTGCGAGGAATAGGGAAAACGAGTATTTGGAAGAGTGCATTATGGTTGTAGGATTAGGGGATCTTAGGGAAAATGTACCCAAAACTCAGCTTCTTGGGCTCGTAACAGCCTAGTGCTAATTCCTCTAGGTTTTTTTCTAACACCTGGAAGGAAGAAATCTTCTGAAGGATCCCCATAACTTTACCAAACTTCCAAAGGGAACTTTGAGGTTTTTTTTGGTTTTTTTTTGAGTTGGAGTCTCACTCGGTCGCCCAGACTGGAGTGCAGTGGCCGCTCCCGGCCA